ATGTAGTACACTGCAGATCCGAAGACCAACTAGCAGATATACTCACCAAAGCACTCAAAAGTGAGCGTTTTCAGTCACTTAGAAAGCAGATTGGGATGGTGCGAGCTGAGATCAGTGAAGATCGCACCAGGAGAAAGGCGAAAACCTAGGGTTTCTGCCGGAGAGGAGGAGATCAACCTAGGAAGAGCTTTCTCCGAGTTTAATCGGTGGAAAGTGCTCAGAATCACAGAAGGAGAATTTTCACCGATTGAATCGGTGAAACGAGTGTTTTTTCGCAATAAAATCATGGTTTTGTTCGATTAAACGTTTTTGTTTAGGAGGAGTGTTAGAATAAACAAAAACAAACAGATTCAGTGTACCAAAAACAGCTATAAAAGCAAACTTTAACAGAAATACAATTTTCAGATGTTACTCAGTACCTTGTATGTGTGCTTGCTTTCTGTTTTCTCTCAACTCTATGATCATCTTAGGTTTGGTGTGCGAGTGTGCCCTAGCAGAGCTTCTCCATTCTTTCTCTGATCTCTCTCCCTTTCAGTAACACTCCAAACTTGACTTCTCTCTCTTGCCACGACAGATTAGATGTCTTAATTCTAATCTGCTCAGTTACTTTTCTCGGTTTTACCCTTACCATTTCTGTTTTTCCATTTCTGCCCTTACTCTAATAGTTTCGTTCGAATGTGTGTCACTTATTTGCTTTGTCTTTCTAATATTTTGTCTTCCATAACTTGCTTTGTCGGACGCATGCCCTATCATTTGTCGCCTGCTTTTTTATGTTATGGGTCTTTCATTTTTATTTGTTTTTTTTATTAATTTAATATACAGTAGGTTTAATAATAATCACGATTTAGCTGTAGAAAAACTAGTCTTTTGAAGTTGGTAATTTTGTCCTCTGTTAATAAATTTCCGTTAAGTAGAAGTAAGGTAGGGTAGTTAGATTAATGTCATACATACCTCACTTTTTGGATAGAGGTTGTAATATTAAAATTATAAAGACAGAGTTATATTTTAATTGAATATTTTTGTCTTCTTTCAAAATATGATTTATTTTTAGTCACAACAATTCACATTAGAACTTTTAAAAGGCCTGATTTAAAAAATCAATCTTCCGTGAATCTTGGCAATCAGATCTGTGAGATAGATAGAAAAAAGGTTTTTCTGTCTTAATCCAAAAATTATATATATATATATATATATATATATATATATATATATGTATGTATGTATGTATATATATGTATGTATGTATATGTGTGTGTTTTTTTTGGTAGAAGATCCATTAATACACCTTTTTAATAGAGGTGCCTTCGTCAATTAATGTAGAATAAATATATGAATATTTTTTTGGATTAAAAATAAAAATAAAATGAAATATCCTTTTTACTAGTTAAAATTAACTTATACACTTAGAAGATAAAATTTTAAAGAAATGATATGAAAACATTTTTACAGATTATATACATAAGTTAACTTGTAAATGAATGTTTTATTTTTTTCTTGATTACAAAAACTTGGTCAAACACCATCGTTTGATCAGAGAGATATAAAGGTCTGAGTAACCATCAATACCAGTTTAATGATCGTTGATGAAAAGAAAAATATTGACAACAATAGGAAGGAATTAGAAATTAAAGAAAAAAAAAACCTTGACTCGTGGATAGGTAAAATTAAGATTAATTAAATTAAAGATCTAAAATGAAAGAATTGGTTATTGATTGGATTATCGTTAAGATCATTTGGATTGGGTAGGAGATGGAAAGGAAAAGAAAGATACGAAAAAAAGACCGAGTACTATGTTTAGGATGAATTCAATCGTTTGATTACTCGAATATAAATGAAGAAGAACAGGATCTCCAAGTTGAATTTAAATATGGTATAAGAGAGGTGCTTTACAATTTGATGTAAAGGATGAAACTATGATGTTTCAGTTTAGCCCTTTGCATTTTGGTGGATTGATCGAGTTATAATTAAGAAAAGGATGGTGCAAGGACTCTCAAATATGAAGTTTGAAAACAAAAGAGTGTATGCTCGGGAAGGATCCAAGGACTGTCGAGTACAGAGTAAAAGAATAACTCACATTGATTCATACATATCTATGTGAACCAATTACATGTGAGTCTTTCAATGGAAAAAGATATTCTATTTAATTTTTAAATAATTTTTTAAGGAAGACCTAGATATATTTTTTAGAGGAGAAATATGAGGTGTTCAAAATATTTAAAGTGATGGTAAAGAATGAGACAAAAAAGTCTTTCAAGTCTGTTAGGTCTAATCGATGAGACAAGTTCATTTCGTCTGAGCTCATGAAGTATTGTGAGGAACAAAGAATATAGAGATTTCTGACAACACATACTCACTCTAGCAAAACACAGTTGTCAAGAGGAAGAACTAAACCATCCTTGACATGGTTCGAACAATGTTGAAGAACAAGACCATGCCAAAGGAGTTTTGGGTTGAAGTTGTGCAGTATGCTATTTATGTGCAAAATAGGTGTCCTCATGCAAAGTTAAACTTGATGACACAAGCAAGAAGTACGTATTCATTGGGTATGATGAAAAAACTAAGGCCTACAGCTGAGATGTTCAAGTAAATGAAGGAAGTTAATGGAACTAGAACAACTCAGATGAGGAGTTTATTGGAAGTAGAAGCACAAAAATTGTTGCACCACTTATTGAGAGAGATGATGATATTTCTGATGAAGAAGATGAACTTCTACAACCCATAATACTTAGTGTGCAAGACATATACAATTCCACTAACAAGTGCATGTTGTATGTTTTTTGACAGATATAGAAGACTTGAGCTTTGAGGAAGTCATGCAAGTGGAGAAATGAAAGAAAGGATATGGATGATGATAGGCATTATTGAACGCAATTGTACATGGGAATTGATTGATTTACCAAAAAGAGCTCGACCTATTGATGTAAAGTTGGTGTATAAGAAGAAGACAAATGTTGAAGGAAATGTTGAGTGATATAAAGCTTCGTTTGTGCTGAAGGGATACAAGTAGAAGGAAGGAATAAACTATGACAAAGTGTTTGCCCTAACAACGAGGATGAAAACAATTCAATTGTTAATTTCCTTGGCAGCTCAACAAAGATGTCTAATTCCGTAAATGGATGTAAAGTCGACATTTCTGAATGGAGTCTTGGAGGATGAAGTATACAGTGAATAACCACTAGGATACATGCGAAGAGGAGAAGGGAAGAAAGTGTTAAGATTGAAGAAAATGCTTTATGGCTTGAATTAATCTCCTCGAGTATGGAATGAAAAAATTGATACTTATTTCAAGAAGAATTGGTATAAATAGTGTCAATATGAACATGCTCTATACATAAAGAAGAATAGAGAAGATGTGATGTTTGTTGTCCTATATGTTGATGATGTAATCTTTGTGAGAAATAATGTTGAGTTGATTAAAAAGTTTAAAGAAAATGATGAAAAAGACATTTGAGATGATCGACTTAGGTCTTATGAAGTATTTTCTCGATCTGGAAGTTGTTCAAGGAAAAGAAGGCATCTTTGTGTCTTAGGAAAGGTATGTTGAGGACGTCGTGAGAAAGTTTAAGATGACAAGTTACAACCTGATTTCCACCCTTATGAAACCTAATACAAACGTATCTAAGTATGGAGGTGGAGGCTAAGTTGGTGAAGTAAAATATTGAAGTCTAATTGGAAGTCTTAGGCATCTTACAAATAAAAGCAAGATTTATGGAGGAGCAGAGGTATACTCATTGGAAGACATTAAAGCAAATTCTAAGGAGAATAATATCACTCAGCTTGTTGTATACTAGAATAGATACTTACCAATTAATTGGCTACTCAGACAACAATTGGTGTGGGGATTTGATAATCCGAAGAGCATGTCAAGATATTTGTTCTTTTTGGGAACACAACGTTCACCTAGCTTTCGAAGAAGCAGCCCATTGTCATGTTGTCAACATGTGAAGCCAAGAATGTTGCAACATCTTGGAGTGTTTGCAGTCAGTTTGGCTTAGAAATCTTCTAAGCAAGAAAAATGAATTATGATTTAAGTTGGCAAAGAACTCAATCAATTATAAGAGAAATAAAGATATTGATGTTCGATTTCACTTCATTCAATAATAAGTGAATAAAGGAAATGTAGAGTTAGAGCAAAAAAAATCAAGCATATTGATATGTTCACGAAGTCATTATTACTATACAATAATAGCAAAAGAATAATGAGACGAAAGAAAGAATAAATATTTAAGATGTTTTTATTAGTTAAACTTAAATAATGTTACTTACATTAAATAATGTTACTTACATTTAATAAGTATTATTATAATAAGTATTGTTATAATTAATTGTGTTGGAATAAAAAAAGAAGTTAAGAATACTGTTATGACATGCAATAGAATGCATTAATTATGATTTAGATAATAGTTTTATTTAATAGATATAGTTGAAGGAAGAAAACAAAAGCGTCTATAAATGGATGTTATACTACTCAATGTATTTACACAAAAAGTACTAGAGAGTGTTTAGAAAGACAACAATATCACCATTCACCTCTAGCAAAATCACCTCAAATTACTGGATGCACACACACAATCAATTTGTGCCTCACCCTCCCATCATTCTCTACAGTAAATATGCTAATCCAAACAATTGTCTATCGTGAATATGCTAATCCAAACATAGCATTAAAGAATTTGAATACACATATAACTAACAAAATCTATTGACAACTACATTGAAAAGAAGTTTAGAATTGTGGATTGGATGAGGATGCATGGAGAAAAGTTAGAAAATGTGAAAATTATAGAGAAGATTCTACTCATTTAAGTTTGAATATGTACTGTCATAAATAGAAATATTCTAATAATATGAGAAGTTAATGTATGAACAAAATGTGTGTATGCGCACCATTAATAATATCTCTCAAATCAAAGTCCATAAACACTTTTTTATTACAAAAGGACAGAACATTTCAAATAAGAAACTGTTACATGGTAGAACGATAGATTAAATTTTATTCTTGAAAAGCCACAAGGGAGGAACTCAAGATTGAAGTCCTTTAGCAAAAAGAGAAGCAAAGGTCTCCATTGTTGTTTTCTTGGACACAAAACCTATCTCAATTCCTTCTCCATTGTTGCTATCTGAAAGACTAAACACTGCAGTTCTTTCAATAGACACTGTCTCCACCTTCTTTGGTCCTCCCCAGCCAAAGTCACTGCTGTAAGCCTCAAAATTCGGTGAGCCCGCAACTCCAATCGCCTTCACATCAGCTTCACCTCCCACACAATCAAGCAACCATGATGACCAATTTTCAGCTCCAATCAGAACACCCTCCTTCTTCACACTTTCCAAAGCTTCACTCAGTGCTTCCACAGCCACAATTAGTCCATCCTCCCCCAACAATTCTCTTCTTTCAGCAATTGCAAGTCTTAATCCAACACAGTTACCAAAATAGGTCGGAGGAAGAGGTGGCTCCAAACAACCCCTGCAATCCACAGTCAGAATCAACATAACTCTCTCGTTTTTCATTTCCTCGGCTCTCACCCTGCAAACCCATGCATAGGCAAGAGACAACACAAACGTTGACAAATGAATGTTGATGTTGTTCTGTCTCTGTTTAGACACAACAAAATGCTTCAGCCTTTCAATATCTGAACCAGACAATTTAAATAAGCCTCCAGTTGCATGTTCCGGAGATTGCACATCCCGAACCATGAGGCTTCTTTTATTGGATCCTCCCTGCATTAACCAATCATTGAGGAACTTCCCCCCTATTTGGTCAGGGTCTTTTACTAGTATCCTTTCATAGAAAGGACATAGTTCAGGTGGCAAACAAGGGGGTGCGCGTGATTCTCTACAAAGATAAGCCCAGGACTTGATAAACGATGTTGAAGTCTTGGCATCAAGAACAGCACGGTGTGAGGTTATTCCAATGGAAAATCCAGAGTTTGGAAACAGAGTGATTTGCAAGGCTAAAAGCGTAGCCTGTTCATGTGATATGGTCAAGTGAGGTAAAAGATGGTGCATTTCTTCAGTTTTCCAAAGATTTGAGCCGGCTAGATGGTTGAAATCTGCATCAGATTCAGCTGCTGTGAGAGAAACAGAGTCACCCGTTTTGTAATTGATGATGGGGTTATGGGAGTGAAGGGGCCAAGTGAGGTGGCCCGCAAGAGGAAAAAAGTGGCCGAGTGTAAGAGAAAGAGAGTGTATGAGTTTGGGAAGAAGGGTATGGAAGAAGGGTGGGGTAGGGTGAGAGAATTGGTAGAAGAGGATGCGTTGAATAGGAGGTGACCTTAACCACAGTATGTCAAAGAAGGTGAGGGGAAGCGATGTTTGAGTTGGTAATTCTTCTGATTCCAAAGTTGGTGCTATACTGAAAACTTGTACCACATGCATGGTTTCTTTCTTGTTGCTTGGACCAAGCAGAAAAATAGAAGAGTGATGCAGGTGGTTATGTCTCGTGATTCTCTGATCTTATGACTCTACTTATTAATTGAAACTGATATACATTTTATTCTCTGCATAACTTTCAAATGTGTTGATTCTAATTTATTAGCTATCGTCAACCTTCTCTGATGAAGTATCTCACAGGTGTCATTTCTTGCATAAATCTTTTGTACGTGTCAATTCTATAACAAATTTTTCAAAACCCTAATGTACGTGTACAACAAATTCACAGGTGCAGTTCCAATTGCATTTCACTTCTTCTTAGTTTAGTTTATTTTTGTTTCGATAACTCATTTTTTATTACATTTTTAAGTTTAATGTTATCCTTTCTATTGTAGTAGTATGGTAGGAATAAATCCAATTATCGATTAGCAGTTCCAAAAATTCCATGGATTATAATTTCCTTCACACCAAGTCTGTCAAATCTTAAACATCAGCGTGGGAGAAGTGTGTAATGCCATACTATATAAAATATAAAATTATGTGATGATTGTATGATGAAGAGTTGAATCAAATATATAAATGGTCTGATAGAGATTGAAAAAATATAAAATATCATACGTGTTTAATGAAATAGTTCTTCTTGAAAATGATAAAGCCATCGAGGTACAAGGCATCGGGTCTATCAGACTAAAAATGTTTGATAATTGGGAGATGCTGCATGAAACGAGCTATATTTTAGAACTTAAGAGAAATGTTTTGTGAATAAGTATGTCGATCATATCGATTTAACAATCAAAGTTAATAAGAAGTGATGAATATTTGGAAAAAACATCTACACTGTTTAGGGAGAGAAAAAGAATGATCTTTACATCTTAAACATTTAAACCGTCGAAAAAAATAAAAATAAAAGACTATCTAATAGGGACCGTCTAGTAGTGTTGAAATTAGTTATACTTTCTAATACGTTTTATTGAATGGCTTTTCATTATTTCTTTAGTTTAGATAAAGACGGAATATAGACTATATATTGTATATTGTGATAAAATCTGTTTAAAACATTTCAATCATAATAAAAAAAATTCAATCTTGTTCTTATATTTTATTATTGTTGTGAAGGCAACAAATTATAAAAGATTATATTTATCAACAAGTTGATACGGAGCAGACAAACAAAATCTAGATTCATCTAAGTGATTCCAAATGGAGACGTCCGTCATTTTCTTTCAAACATCTCGGTGGTGTTTCACTAAAAATTCTTTCTATTCTAATCGTTTTGTCGATCTATGCCTAAGATTTGTAATATGTGTATCAGTTACATGGTGAATTAGTCGGTCATTTAGTCATTGTAATTTTATCATGTTATGATTGAAAGTTTATTTCTGCGTGTAAAATGTGCCTCGACCGAATCACTTCATCTCAATTTCTCGAAGAACTTGTTCATAATGCCAAAAAACAATGGTTCCAGTTCCACCAAATAATTCAGTCAACATAACACATTTTCCTTTCTAATCAATCCTTCACAAAATCTAACAAGTCATTGTTGTAAGGCTATATTATTCGTTCATTCTTTTAGTCCTTTTCTTTCTTCCCCTTTTGATCCCTTTTGACACTTTTCATAACTTTTAGTTTTTTTTTCATACCTTCCACTTTCCTCCATATTTCCTCCCAAAATTGAATTGGAGGATCAACATTTTCCATAATCAACACCAGTACTTCCTTCACCCATAACTTACCACTTCACATTAACAAAATAATATGGGGATAACCAACACCAATGCTAATATAATACATGATAGTGGAATGATTTATTTTACTATTGCACACCAACAAAGAATTTTTGAGATATAATAAGTTGCCAAATGATAGAGTATAAGAGATAAAAAGTTTTGCCAGACTTTTATTCCTGAAAAGAGAAATTATCTACCCAAACATGGGGATAATCAATACCTATGCCGCTAATACATGGCTGTCAAATGATTTATTTTATCATTGCAAACCGACACAACATTTCAGATGACAATAAGCTACCAAATGATAGAGAGTCTTATTCCCGAAAAGCACAAGATCTACCCAAACTGGTTGGATAGGGACTCAAGATTGAAGGCCTTCTTCAAAGAGAGAAGCAAAGGTCTCCATAGCTTTTTTCTTGGTCACGAAACCTATTTCAATTCCGTCACCTGTTCTGCTATCTGAAAAACAAAACGCTGCAGTTCTGTCAATAGACACCATCTCCACCTTCGTTGGTTTTCCCCAACCAAAATCACTACTGTAAATTTCAAACCTCGGTGACCCTGCAAAAGCAGCTGTTTTTGTGTCACCGACTTTGTAACTTTCATACACCATCTTCCACCAGTCTTCTGCTTCATGCAGAAAACCTTCCTTCTTCAATGTTCCCAAAGCTTCACTCAGTGCTTTCACAGCCACGATAAGTCCATCCTCCCCCAACAAGTCTTTTGTTTCAGTAATTGCGACTGTGATACCAACACAGTTCCCTAAATACGTTGGAGGAACAGGCGGCTCCATCTGACGCCTGCAATCAACATTCAGACCGAAACCAGTACTTGTACTTTGGCCACCTTCTGCTTTCACTCTGCATACCATCGAATAGGCGGCAGCTAGCACAAAAGTTGACAAGTGAAGGTTCGTGTTATTCTCTTTACTCTGCACAATCTGCTTCAGCTTTTCAATACCTGAGCTAGACAAATGAAACAAGCCTCTGGTCGCTTCTTCTGGAACAGGCATCTCGCTAACCTTGAGGCTTCTGTTGTTGGGTCCACCCATCTTTAACCAATCAAGGGAATACTTTTCTCCTATTTTTTTGGGGTCGTTCACTATTTCCCTATCAAAGAAAGGAGTCCATTCCGCTGGCAAAGAAAAGGGTGGTTGTGCTTCTCTGCAGAGATATGCCCACGATTTGACAAATGTTGTTGAAGCTTTGCCATCAAGAACAGCATGGTGGGAGGTTATTCCAATGGCAAATCCAGCGTTCGGAAAGAGAGTAACTTGCAGGGCAAAAAGCGTAGTTTGTTCGTGGGATATGTTCAAGGGAGGTACAAAAGGGTGAGTTTCTGTAGCTTCGGTGAAATCTGTGCCTGCAAGATGGTTGAAATCGGCGTCAGATTCAGCTACAGTGAATGAAAGAGTATCACCTTGGTTGTAAACGATGAGGGGTTTGGTGGAATGAGTGGGCCAAGTGAGGTGTCCAGCAAGAGGGAAAAAGTGGCCAAGTGCAAGAGAGAGAGAGCGTTTGAGTTTGGGAAGAAGGGTATCAAAAAAAACATCAGTCGGATGATGAAATTCGTAGAAGAAGACACGTTGAACAGGGGGTAACCTTAGCCATAATATGTCGAAGAAGGTGAGGGCGAAAGATGCCTCTGTCGGTAGCTCTTTTGATTCAGAGCTCGGTGCTATGCTCAGAACTTCGACCACTTTCATGGTTTTTTTGCTGCTTTGTTCTACCCAGACCAAATACGGAAAAACCAGACAGCTATAATCGAGTGACTATCAATCCGCAGTATTGTTATAAAAACCATCCAACCACTTTCCAACTACTTTTTTATTCATTCACTCACGTGTTAGTTTTATAAAAAAATTTCGGGTACCAACTATCGATACTATATTTTATAAAACAAAATCTATCCATCTACTTTCTAACAACTCTCTTATTCGTTCACGTTTTACTTTTATCAGTATTTATAGAACCCTGTTTAAACTGAGAAAACCCCATTTAACTCATCAATTCCTGTTGCTGTAACATGGTTATTAGGTAGTAGTTGTTCTATCAGTCAGTCAGTATACTTACATTTCATAACATACCAGAAGGACTGCTTCTGTGAAATTTGATCCCAATAATTGAATATTGATAAAAATAGTATTTTGAAAACAAAATAAATAAGATGTTGAAGAAGGGCAGAGAGATCTACACTCGACCACAGCCACACAGTCTCCAACAAACAGCTGGAAGATAAGAAAGAGGAGATTCACATCCAGTGGTTTACCCCACCCCATTTCAACCTCTTCTTCATTTCTACTTTTACCTTCTCAGAGCATTTGAGTGTCATGAGCTTAGTTCATGGGTAAATCATACAGCAACTGATCTTTATGCAGAATTCTGGTAGTAGCTGATAAAAATAAAGATTCGCCTCTAAAAAATAAGAATATCTTTACGTGAAGTCAAAAAAAGAATACTTGCACGTGAAGCCACGTGGGCAAGATCAAAATGCAAACAATCATTTATCTTCTTCATTATGATTACTGTTTACTGGGGCAGAAATGGAGTAAGCTGCACATCTAACCACAGAAACTCCTTTTGAGCTTCAAAAATGGACTATATAACATATATACGCCCTCATATCATACTTAACCATCTATTGTCTAATTTTGCTTTGATAATAAGAAAACCCTATTTTATAATTATCAGTGTTATAATGTTAAAATTTTGATAATAATTTTAGTAAAAAAAATAATGAAAATTACATAGTTAAAGGAATGTACGATAGTATAAATGCATAACAATATTTAATTAAAAACAATGACATTGAAAAAGTATATAATTTCATATAACTTTTGTTTGATAATGTAAAATACTTACTCCAATCATGCATCTCCGTTTATTTATCACCTAAAGAAAACATATTATTTTCATGTCGAGAAATTAGTTGACAGAACGGATCTCTCATTCTGTTGTTTTCTTTTTGGCAAATTTCGTACAGAAAAGGATTACAGGGTAACCAGTTTCTTGTGGGCCATTTTTTAAAAATTATCCATTAAATTTTTTTTTTTATTTTAAAAAATGTTTTTATTTTAGTGCCGGTTTTTTTATTTTAAAAATAAAATTGAAATAAAAGTAAATAAGTATAATTGAAAGACGAGGTTTAAATTATTTTTTGAATACTTTTAAAAAGTTGAATAAATTGTTAATTTTGAAATTTAATTATATAAATTTAATGATTATTTGAAAACAACGGAAGCCATGGCTATTCAATTAAAATGGGAAATTTTTTGAATTGAAAAATCTAGCACGATGTTATAAAATCAAACACCCGAAAGTCAAGATTATGTTATGTGAATGTTCACTTCAACCCACACAACCCTGTTTACATACAAAATGAAAAGATGAAAGTTAGAAAAAATGTACCCTATGGCAAGACTTTATTTTCTGATGCTATGTAGTAAAAGAAAAATAGAATTTCTATGGACATAAAAATAAATGAATTATACATATATTGTTTCTCCTGAAAAGGACTAGGAAAACTCCTTTTTGTTCGAGAATGTTTTCGTCTCGACTGATCGGTTTTTCGTGCTCGTGTCTCACCGCCTGAATCTTTCTTTCCCAATATCAAAATGGGGGGTGACCTGTAGGAAACACTCTGACGCTCAAGTCAGAATTTATCTCCGCAAGTCTATCAAAATCACAAATTAGAGAGTTTACCTTCCTAATCATTTGTTATTTATAGGGTTTCAAAGAATATAGTCCATTAATTTACCTATCAATGCAAACCTTAACCGCTCTACGGTGACCGTTACATTATTAATTATGCATTTAATAACATTCAGAGGTTGTCTCCAACAAACGGCTGTAGAGAGTTCACGCAAATATTACTCTACTGGCCGACCGAAAATGATTAACTCCCATCGCTCTAGCATGGTAGATCGGTCGTAACACCTACTCAGTAGTAACACACAACACACACACACACACACACACATATATATATATATATATATATATATATAAAAGTTTGCTAACTTATGTAACTTTTTGAAGTGTACTCAATTTTAATTGACAAAAAAATCTTATCAATAAAAAAACATACTTTAAACATAGAGATATTTTAATAATTTTTTTTAATTTAAAATAAAAAAATAAAAAAAATATTATTCAAATATCTTCAAGAATCTATAATATATATATATATATATATATATATATATATATATATATAAAAGATATTTTTATCAATCAAAATTTAGTAGAATATAATTTGCTTTTATAACCATTTATTTGGAATACACAAATTTTTGAATAGTTATATTTTTATTAGTATATCTCATTTTATTATTTTATCTTTCAACTTTTTGTAAATGCTTTTTTAATTCTCAGGTGTTTTGTAATTATTCTTTTAATAATATACATCAGTTTTTTTTTATCAATTTTACACTTTATCAATATATTTTATTTTCTTGTATTTCTTTTTAAGTTTGTGCATATACTTTTTTAACTCAATTAATTATTTAAATTATGTCATGATTTTTTATTTATTACAAACCCACATGTTTTCACCAGTTATCATAATTGGAATAAAAAATATCTAATATTTTCAACTAATATGCTTAAAGTTAATTCTGATGCAATTTACTTTTAAAATTTTTGTTTTTTCTACTATTGGGTGGGGCATTGAAATAATTGTGTCGCAATCATCAATTTGAATATTGTTTCTAAAATATACATGTGAAATATAAATCTTATGTCCTTTTAAAAAGTTTTCCACAAATTCGGAATTCCATTTTAGTTCATGTCTCAACTATAGTCACATGTGTTAATTTTGAAATTTTAAATATATTATTTTGATTGATTTGTTTTTCCAGCTAAAACGAGGGTATCAAAACGGAATGATTTTCCCGTCCAGCCCAAATTTAGTCTGCCAAAAAAATTTAATTTAGATTGACTTGTTAATTGAAAATTGGTTAAATTTTAAAATTTGATCTGTCAAATTATTAAATTATCGGGTTGGTTCACTTGTGTTTTTTTTTTTCTGTTATTGAAAATCTAATATCACATATAAATTGATTGAACTTTTTTTATCTTTTACACGAAAGTAAATTGATATTGAATTGATTCCAGACTTAAATGTACTATTGTTTGGATTGTTTTAAATTTTGGTCAAGTTATATCAAATTTGGATCTATCATGCTATTAATACGAAGTATTGAAACGTAAGTTTTTTTTATAAAGCCCAAATTGTCCCGACTGATCGCATAACTGATCTATCATACTACCGAACCGATTTAGTAGAGGATAAATCTAATTTGGGTGTTACTCCCTCTACCGCCACAACTTGTTTCCTCCACCACCCCATTCCCCTTTTATCCATTTCTTTATTTTTTCATTCTTATTTTATTCTTATTAAAATTTTAGGGTTAATATTATTTAAAATCTCACGTGAAAATTCATTCTCTTTATCATTATTACATATTTCTCTTTATTAATTTTAACAAGTTGTCTCTTACGATACAATAACCTTGGGTTGTCTCTCATGTTCCACTTCTTCTTCTCTTTTATAGAATTGTGAAGTGAGAGTATGGTGGACTTTGTGTTTAGTAAGATTGAAAGTGGGGAAAACAATTCATCTTCAGCCATAAGTGTGGTGGTGCTTCAAGGTGCTGGTTCAGAGGCGTGAGAGGTTCGTGAAGGTGCGTAATAAAACCCTAAAATATAAACCGTATAATCTTTAAACGGATGTGAGCATCCGTCAACAGATGTCAACATCCGTTTAAAGATCATACGGTTTATATTTTACAATTTTTTTTACGGATTCTCACCGCCGCACTGTTGCAATGTCGCATCGCACACCGCCCCCACCGCCGAACCACTGAAGGAGGAAGAAAACTGATATGGAGGAAAAATGGAAGATGAGAAAAGAATATGATGGAGTGTGGGTGAGAATCTGAGAAGGTTGGGAGGTGGGTGAGAAGGGGTAGAAAGATAGATTTTAGGATTAAAGTAAATAATTAGGATTAAAAAGTAAAAAGGTTATTTTTGTAATTATAAAAGGTTAGTTTTGTAATTCAAAAAATATGTAATAGAATTGGGGATGTGGAGGGAGAAAATGTGATGGTGGAGGTTAGTTTTGAAATTTTTGTATTTTTCTTTAAGAAAGAAAAGGCCCAATGGCCTAATGCCCAACTAACGTTGTTGTGATTTTATTGGAAACTAATTTAGAAATAAATTGATGAAATTTATTTGAGTAATTAAATTATTAGCATCTTAAAATTAATTTCAGTTAATATAACCTTTTGAAAAAACTTGAAATGCATAACAATGTTTAATTAAAAACAATGACATTGAAAAAATATATAATTTCACACAACTTTTGTCTGATAACGTGAAATACTTACTCCAATCATGCATCTCCGTTTATTTATCACCTAAAGAATACAAATTATTGTTCATGTCGAGAAATTAGTTGACAGAGCGGATTTCTCAATATGTTGTTTTCTTTTTGGCAAATTTCGTACAGAAAAGGATTACAGGGTAGCCAGTTTCTGGTGGGCCATTTTTTAAAAATTATCTATTAAATTTTTATTTTTATTTTAGTGTTGGTTTTGTTATTTAAAAAAAATTGAAATTAAATAAATAAGTATAATTGAATGACGAGGTTTAAATTATTTTTTTGACTAGTTTTAAAAAGTTGAATAAATTGTTAATTTTGAAATTTAATTATATAAATTTAAAGATTATTTGAAAACAACGAAAGCTATGGCTATACAATTAAAATGGGCAATTTTTAGAATTGAAA